GTACATCTTTCCTGACTCAGGAATTCTAGAGTCAGGGCGAAGGTTCTTATGTGAAAGACTCGAGGTCAAGGAAGCCATGTGAGTAAGTGCTTAGCGGTTGAGCGCCGGGGAATTCCCACATGAGCAATGATTCCTTGCTCTTGGTCAAACTCATGCTGAATGAGTCTCCCGTTATGACTCGACAACTGATCGAAAATTTCGAAAGATCCAGACCAGGCCCGGAAGAGCAAAGTCGGACCTTTTGGTTTGAAGCGCCCAAGTAAACTTGTGTTATTGTGCTCGGGACATGGAAGTGAGTAGACCCGACATGCTAAGCACGCTCTGGCTCCATATATTTGAGGGCTTTGCCTCAAGGAAACCTTGGGCGACAAAGGTAGGGCAGAGGGGCAAGGGGATATCGTGGTCAAGCCAGAGTATGCGATCTTTGTGAATCGTTTCGGTATCTTCCCGTCGCGTCGACGGTCAGGCAGAAGGCTGATCGAGAGGTGCAATGTGTGTACGCTTGACGAGAACAGACAACGTGGTTGCCCGCGCGGATCCCTTGCACCTGCGGTCAATATCGACATGAATATATAGTCAAACACTAATCAGAGATCTGCTTGCTGGCAAGTTCTTCGTTTGATTGCGAACTGCAGACCGCATCAATTGTGCGGAAATCTTTGAATAGCCGCTGTTAGGGCGCAAGTCAGCAGCAGGAATTGTTCAGACAGGAAATTAGAGGGACAGGCAAACAGCCATCGATTGATCACCAGGAAACTGGTCGAAACACACAAAGGTCCTTGTTTAGCCATTCAAACTGGAGCGCCTCGAGTCTTCAGAACCTCCAGATATTTCTTCTTGACTGTTGCATTGCCGTATCGGTATGAGCCTTTGCTTTCCATATACTCAGCAACTTGTTTCCACGGGACTTTATTGACAAATTGACCAATGGAAACGGCATCGAGATCTTTGGAAACCTGAATGTTAACCGAGGTCGACTTCGAGCAATAGGAAACTGCTTCGAAAAGGAGCCGAACCTATTACGTAGCGCGTTAGTATCTTGGGCTTGCTTCCCAAGGGCAACTCACATCTCGATCGCTCCATTCTGGTTTCCTCAATCTTGCTTCCCTTGGTTTCGTCAGAGCACGATATCGTCCTCTCAAGGTTGATTCAGCCTCCTCGAACTTCAATCGCTCCTTGATAATCTTGTATGACAGTCCTTGTTCTTTTAACTGTACTAGAAGCGTGTCTTTTGAGGTGTCGCGCTGTCCACCCTTTACTCCCAATTGTCTACCCTGGGGGGTTGAAATGTTTGTCAGGCCCGTGGGTGATGAGGTGGTCGCTTCGGAAGCCCAAAGATCTGGATACTGGACGCTCTGATCATACGCAGACGCATGTTCCAATTCCTGATAATGAACGGTCGGGAGGATTTGGTCCGCAGAAGAGGCTGGAGGGTCATTCTGGAAGTCAAAAGGGTCATCACCGTAAGAGGGCAGCTCGGGTAAAGGCGGGTAAACTAAAGCAGTCGAATCATATTCAATCTGTTGTGGCAGGGGAAATGTAGGGTCGATCGGACAAAAATTGAATACAGGATCCAGATGTGACTGGGCAGCACAATGTTGAGGTGATGTGGCCACACCAAGTACGTGCGACTCGTAGTTCGTTGCAATAGAAGGCCAAAGCTCACTCGAGCCAGGGGTCTTTGCTTCCAGGAGAGTCTTCGGGGTGGTCAAATCGTCACCACCGATAAGCTGGCCATCCGGCATGCTGTTGTCCGGCATGAAGATGTCAAACTCGTCTGGAGATAGATTCTGGAAGAGCGAATTGAAATCATCCGGTCCGAGGGGCATTCGCTGCTGCGCATAGGATGTGTAAGCCGTTGACTGCCGCATATCCGTATCAATAGCCATTCCAGTTGTAGGGGGTAAATGCGTGAAAGCCTTGGCCTGGTTTGCGCAGCCCTCATTCAACGAGGTACTGAAAATGTCAAGACTCTGAGAACCTGGTGGCCGTGTCGGGACATGGATGCCACTTGAGAACCCTGACCCCTCAGACCGCAAACTGTTCCGGACTTCGCCCTGGTCAGTGTATGCGCCATAATTTCCAGTTGACATAGTACGGTTGCCGTGTTGTGAGGATGGACAGAAGTGCACATTGGCGGCGTAAGAAGCTGCGGAGTTCATGGTTTGATGCTCTGGACGCTGCATTGCGGGCGACTGGGTGTGGGCGAGACTGTGAGAGTTTTCAAAGCAGGTGAGATTGACCGAACTCATATGGGAAGCAGGGCACGGGGCTCCAGCGGAGTGACAGATATGGAGTGTGTCAGAAGACGCCGGTTGGGAATGGTGAGTCGGAGCTGGAGTGAAGTAACTCGGTGCAGACCATCTTGGTATGTGACAAGGAAAATGAGCCTGTCCACAACAGAACGTCTTTCCCTCGGTGTAGGTTTCAGAGTATCTTGAATCAGCTGTTTTCGGGGACATTGCTGCGAGCTGCAAGGCTGCGCAGTGCAGAAGCGAGTGATAGATTTGGCGACTACAACTGGTGAATGGGCCGGAAGCAGTGTGCTGTGAGAGTCTGAGCGACAGGTTGCGTTTTCATGTTGAATCATTGGCCACATTGCAATCAGCACCTGCGTGGTCATCCATGGAAACGGAGTCGAGTCTGTTCGTACTGCAAACAGAACCCATCCACGGCACCGGGATCGAATTAAAAATCCCCAAGAACGTGAAGACGAGGGTCTGCGTGGTAAGAGTCAAGCTTACCTTTTGATTCCATCCACAAGTAAATGTCTCGCATCGAGCTCTGCTCCAGCCTTTGATACATCGGCAGAGGTTGCTCCTAGTCTGCGGAACCTTAAATGAATCGGGTTGTGGCACATTAGCTCCTCGATAGCTGGTCTGCTGCGTCGTGCTGTCTTGATGGCCCACGATTGCTTGAGCCAACAACTCTGTTTCCACATAGGACACAAACAAGCCTAGAGAGCAGCCTTTTGTCACCACATCCTCCTATCTTATCGTGTCCTGCTCTGTTGCCCACCATGTACTTGCCATGGCTCGAAGTGTAAAAAAACCATAAAAGAAAACATCGCCTATTTGGGGCAAGGGAAAGCATTCAACACAAGATAGTCGCGATGTGGCAGTGTTCCGGTGGCCCGTCTATGCCAGCTGCCACGGGGTGTGAGAAGGGCAAACAGGAAGGCTCTATTTCGATATGTGTGTTTTCTGTGGATGGCAAGTTTTAGGTAATCAGTTGGCTCGGTCTATTAGTTCTGGCACTTCTTTGGAGTTTTCTGGGACTGGGGCCACGGGCAAGTACCAGATCGAATTCGTGGATATATTCAGGGTTCATCCATTCGTGATCAGCAAAGGTAGGTGATGTGCCGAGGGGGTCACCAGGCGGGAGATATGGCAAAGGGCAAGCAAACATCAAGGGCACCGTGTTACATTGTTTGCCTGCTTGTCAATTTTGGGCAGCCGGTCTGGTATTAGCCTGCGGGTCCGCTCCTTTGGGGGATGGCATAGACTGCGCGAGTTGGGCGCAGAGGGGGGATCGTGATGCTTCGCGAGGTGCTCTCGGGTGAATGAAGAGGAGTTCATGGTTGAGCACTGTAGGCCATGGATCGTACCTGTTCGCTCGATTGGACGTACCAGGGTTGTGGAGCTGTCATAACGGGACATTGCAGCGGGAAGCAGACGGACTGTCATTTGATATTGGTTGGCCGATGTCCGGAGCCACGATTAGCTCCCCTTGATCTGGTCCCCAGGATATGTCTTATCGAGAGATGACGAAAGCTGGTTGCAAGAGACAGTGTTTCGCCCTTCGTTGTGCTCAAACCTTTTTTAACCGCTGTCATCCTTCAGCAACGTGTTTGCCACACTCTTCGCGCCTTGAATCTGGGTCTGTAGACCTCCGCAGGAACATGGGGTGTCGCAGTGGTTGTCCTGGGCTGTGTTTGGTGTCAATGAAGCAATCATTCAAAAGGCATTGCACGGGGTGGCAGATACGAGGAGATGTGGGGGCCGACATGTATTGAGAGTAACTTGTGCTGTTATCTGATAGGAGCCATGAAGATATCAAGTGGCCAGGATCTCGAGGTGAAGGAGAAGGTATCGGGAGGTTGAGATGAGGTTGTTAATGTAGCGACCCAGCGACGTTGTCCCAGGCCATTATTCAGCATGGCCGCCAAGGGCTGGTAAATAAATCGACGCCCGACGTACCCCCGATTGGGCCGAGGGTGATACCGCCCTGTACTCACCCCAGTAGAGATGAGCGTAGCCTCTGTCATTGCCCCTTTGAATGTATGGTCGAAAACACCACCGCGGCCGCGGGCTCAGCCAGTCAGACGAGAGGACGTGTTCAAAGCGGCGTTAGAGGTTCCAGGCTTAGGATGCTACCATCTCAACCAGAAAGACCTTTGGCCGTCTCGCCCCAAATCCGAGTCGACTCGCACTCGGATGAAAGGGACGGGAGATATTTTGACAAAGAATCTCTCTCGCCGCTTTCGCGAGTTTCCTTCCCTTCCGCTCAAGTTTCTCGACGCTGCCGCCCGTCCCTTGCAGGTCTCACTCAACTGCTCAACTACTTAACCTTTGGAAGCAAATGACTTCCCTCGTTTCAAAAAGTTCTTCCCAACGAGCGACCACCTTCAATGAATCGTACCGAAACCCCTACCTTCCGAAGAGAATACGGGCCTTTCTAAGCGCTCGAGCGGGCTCACAATCACTCTCCCACCCCGTACTGGACTTCTCGCCCTAGTTTCCGAATAGGGCGCCACCGCTGTCTACACAACGAGAGTGGTGACACTCTCGGCGTGCGTGCTTTTCTACCTTCAGGCTGCGCTGTGGGGACAGGGCTTTCGACCAGAAGATTCACGATGGTGGCGATTCTGTCCTTCTCGAAGGCGATCCAGGCGATCGCTTGAACAGGACGACATACGGAACACAACGACACCGTTGAGACTGCACACGTCGCTACGAGGAAATCGCAAGGCCTAGCGATCGACCAATAGCAGAAATACCTCACGGATTGGTGTAGGCAATAGAGTCACTGGCGTGGCGACGACGCGCCAACTTTGCAGAACGGACCTGGCCAGTCTCACTGGCGGCTGAATCGTAGGCCAAGTTCAGATCCTGCCTGACTGCGACTAGACTTTGAGCCGAGTCAAGGGAGAGCACAGGGAGCGCGGCGCGCACGTCACTTCTCCTGCAGATCTGTTGGAGCAGAGTCCGGAGGCAGGGGTTGAAGGAGATCGAGCGAGCAGACGTAAACCGGTTGTGCGACTCGGCGGCGGTAATCTGCCGCCCGGCCATGCAACCTCGCGTCCTTCAACATTCTCAGTCAAAGACTGAAGTCATCCAGACTAGGTACATTCAATAGGGGATCGACACATGGCACACGGCGGCCCGGGTGAGTTCGAGTCTCTTCTTCCGTGTGCCATGTGTCGATCCCCTATTGAACATACCCAGTCTGGGTAAAGGCGCAGCGGCGGTGGGAGAGGGAGTGGACGGAGGAAGGGAATCGAAGGCCGGGCTTCGAAACATTCCTCAGCAAGAAAATTAAAAAAGGGGGGAGGAGGGGGGGAGAAACGTTCGACGGTCACGAGATTAGGGTTCCGGAACGATATGTAGGCGTAGCGGAACCGCTGACAAAGGAAAGTGCGCGCTTGTGGAAAGCGAATTGATGAAATGAAGTCCGGATCTACAGCCCATAAGGCGTGCTCCAGCGACGAGCACTTTTTCACTGTCGCCGGTCGTCGCGGCACTCTATAACGCTTCGACGCTTGGAGCTGTTTCACAATTTCGTCTCGGCCACGCCGATTGGTGAAAAGACCTCCGGAAAAGGCTGTTTCGAGCGCCGCTTTGAGCCTCCCTTTCACCAAGCATACAACCACAAGTCCCGGCTATGCTCATCCTTTATTGCATCGATGATATTATATCCTTTGCGACGAGCGTTCGCAAGCCATTTTTATGTGATTTGAAACCTAGGTCAATGGATCGTGAGAGGCTGCTTAGAGAAGAGTGGGAGGTCGCGAGGCGGGAGGGTCTTGATTTGGGTCATGTACAATGGACTCTCTGAGCTACTGGTTGCGGACGCGGGTCCTGTAGTACACGCGATAGGTGAAGGGAGCAAAATTTCATCCTCGCGTTAGAATGGTCTTGTGCAAAGATTTTACCCGTCTCAATCTCAGGTCCCTTTCAGTTATGGTATGCGTGCCAGCTCCTCCGTCTTCGCAGCATGGGCCACAGGCATCCCGAAGGACTCACCAAGCCATGGTGCCGGAATTTGCTCTCTCATCGACATCGGATTTGCGTCCTTGCTTTGTGCTTGAATAGAGGCTGTGCACTTGAGATTGCGGCGGCTCGACTTCCTGTGCCGCCTCAAGCTCCTTCAAAATCGAAACATCGATCTTAGAGAACAATCCACTACTAGTGGCATTACCAGCTGACGGGATCAGGGATTGTACCACCTGCAGAAATGAAAATTTCGGCGACACGGTCTCGGTATTTGCATCCTCTGCTAGCTTCTTCAACCGATTCCGGCGCCTCGCAGAGAGGGGGTGGTTCTGCCACCATCCCAGATATTTCACCACTTCGCTGTGACATGCGACTATGTCAATCACAGTAACTCGAGTGTGTACGCCGCGCATCAAAAGAGCCTTGATCGTCCCGAAACAGGCTGAATAGTCCATACGCTCCATCAGTGGGAGTGTTTCCAGGAAGTACAGCCATATCGGTATTTTGTCTCGTGTGTCAAGCGCCGAATCAGGGTTAGCTCCATACTTCAGAATGGTTGTTACGATTTCTTCATTTGGTGATTGTGGGTAGAAGAGATCGCGTCGCAGGGCATAATCCAGCAAAGGTCTGCCCTCTTTCTGATCAATACAGGTCTCTGACAGGCGCGATTTGATGTACGGCATCCATTGAAGCAGTACTGCCAGCGACATGGCACTACCGCGATCTTGACACCACCGCAATAGTACCTGAAAAAGGTCCCGCTTCCTGTCTTCTTCGGAAATACACGTGAAAAGTATTCCCACGTGATCTTTGACCAGTTCGGTCATCTTCTCAAATAGTAGAAACGATGCCTCTTCACTGTCTGATCGGGCTAGAATCTCTCGCATAAAGAATGCGACCGAGTGCTGCTTCGAGCACAGTGATGGTAATGCAATACGTGAAGTCATGTTAGTGACGAGTAGATTGCATCGGAATATGGAAGCGTCGAAAGGTCCACCAGAATGTTGATAGAGCAGCTCCATCGCAGCAGGAGTTTCGAAGAAGTCTCGCACACTTCTGTGCATGACTTCGATTTTCATGTTCCATGGCTGTTGGCTTGTGCCAGGTCGCAATGGTGGGTCCACCTCAAATAGACCCATACTCCGACTCACAACTCGTCGCTCAAGTAGTTCCAGAAACACATCGACATCCTCAGGATCTCTAAAGTCGACCGGATAGATATGTGATTTTGCAGCAAAGTTCTGGTCGTCCCAGTCGGCCAAGAAATGAACATGCAATAATAGAAATCCGAGTGTCGGTTCTGAGGGATAGCCTTTAGCACCACTGACATCCATCATGTAGAGCGCTATTTGAAGAAAAACAGAGGCCTCTTTTCTGTACATTGGGTCAATCGTTTCAAACATACGCATGAAATATTGATTCAAATCGGATGGTACAAGCTGGAGTGTCCGTAACAAGTCTCTCGCATTACCACCGTCACGGAGGACTTTGAGCAGATCGCGAACCACAAGACGGACCCATAGAAAAACACCCCGAGCTTTCCCTGTAACTTCGTTTGTGATGGTCTCAAGAAGATACGGCTCGCGTATTTGGTGCCGTTGGAAGTGCCGATCCTTTTGCAGGTTGTCGTGAACATAGTCTCGTATATCGCCAGCGGTAAGCTGCTCGAGGCGTAGTTTGGGACACTGTGCGAACGCATCGTTGTAGATATTCCAAGGGCGACTTGAAACGCAGGCCTTAAAGGTTCTGTAAGTCCCTAGTGATTGTAGCAGGTCGAGCAATTTTTGCCTGAGTTCGTCAGAAGCATCTTGCTCATCCAACCCGTCGATGAATAGAACAATCGTTTTCTGACCATCGCACTGCTTCACGATACGACACATTGTTTCACACAGTTCAGTCTCTTCCCATTCGCTAAACGGACGAGGAGGGGTGGCATGACATGCCTCCAATCGGTCTGGGGAGATAACCTGATCGATCAATTCGCGTTGTTGCGATAGTAATTCGTGAATGATCTTCCGGAGACAGCCAATAAGGGACTTTTGTAGGTTGCTTCCTGCGTACCAGAAATAGAATGAAGCCTTCACATAGGCTCTCTCCTGTGTCGGTGACGTTTCAGGAGCACACATGTCATCGAAGCGGGCGTCAAGTTCACGCATCAGCGTCGACTTGCCACTGCCGGGCTTTCCACTTACCCAGTAGCAGGGTCGATGCTCGTCCTGGAACCATTGCACAAAATCGTCCCAAACGGTGATTTCGTTGTCTTTGGGCTTGAAAATCCACTGATAGGTATTTTGGTGAGCTCTGTCAATGCGATTGCGCCTCTCGTTCGACGCCGAAAACCAAAGGCTGTTCATAAGTTGCTCTTTGGCCCGTAATTCAGCGTCAATGCGCGGAGAAAGTTTTTTGAAATCCTGGAAAGAAGCCATTACGCTATCGTTCATGTTCTGTAGCCGCTCAGAGAGTCGACGGTCCATCTCTTTCAAATCGAGATGATATTTTTGCATTGCGTGTTCGAAACTGGGGGTGTTTATGTTGTCGTCCACTGAAAGCGAAGAAAGCGTAGAACCGAGTTTAGTAACGTCATCGGTCATACTTCCCGAATTTGCGAGTATCCCCTGTGTCTGGCTGATAATGTGACGGCCATTTTCGTCAGTCCTTTCGCACCCGACTGCTGATTTGTCGCATATACAGACCAAAAGCGAAAGCATCAGATTCGCTCGGGTATGTTCGAGTTGGCATTGCAATTTTTCCAATTTGCTTTGATTGGAATGGGATCTCAGTGCGAATTTTACTGTTGTATTGAGGTCGTCAGAGAAATGTTCTGCTTAAAATCATGTTGTCCTTGTTGAAAAATGGACAAGTTTACGACTCTTGAAGTGCGAGGGAGACTCACCGCTAGCCCATAATGTATGCTGCTTATTTAACCCGAGTGACTCAAGGAAGGAAGTGACCTCTCTTGATAGTTCCAGACATCTCATGTTGGCAGATGCCAAGGCTCGTGCTGGGCCCGGAGGCAAATAACGAGCAGTTCGGGCTTCTATGGCCTCCTGGAGATTGACACTGGATACTGCAAGTCGTTGAACAACATCTCTTATCGTCTCAAACTCTGCATTCCCTCCTCCTTTGGAATACTGCGCTGTCTTCTTGATGATGTCGATCCCTAGCAGGGCGAATTGGAGGGCGTTGCCAGCAGCGGCAAATGTGGTCAGTGGATCAACCATCGTGGTGAGGCCTGTCAATGGACAAGAGGAAACACCGGACTTGCGAAAGACGAGAATTGAATATAATCGCGAGAAAAAGCTGAGAAGACAGAGTTATACAAAGGTGATATACTCAACGAAGAGGAAAAATCACTCGCGCTCCAGCTGAGGTTCCAAAAAGCCTGATGCTTCGAGGCAGAAGTGGCTTAGATACGATGCAACCGCTACCAATGGGGCACAGGATTCTCCATGCAATTCTATACAATTCCATGCCAATTAGCAGCTAGACATGCCGGCAGGTGAGGCAGTGTCTGGACGTGCGGCGAGATTTGGGCCACTGGCAAGGCTCGTCAGGCACACCCCTCTTTCTGTGCTGCTCGAGGCACAACAGCACCTTTTAGCATGAATCATACTGCTCTTGTATTGTCCTGAAACACTAACAGCGATGATGCAAAGTTTCCAATTCAGCGCCCATTACTGTCGACCGAATGACTGCGACTTTTTCGTGTTTATTCGGGGACGGGTCGAATTTTACATAGCGGAGGTCTGAGTCGAGCCTTCTGTCACCTGCGACGAGGAAGGCGGGTGTAGGGGAGAGGCTTTAAGGGCTTGAACATGATGGAACGGAGAGCGTCACAGTTTGTCCCATTGCATATACAATAAGGACCATTATGGTGTGAAAAGACAAGAAATGATGCTTCAGACGGTGGACAATGATGATGGCAAGCTGAGCACGGCTGAGCCGGCAGAAGAGCCCAGGAGCTTCACCGTAATACTCCGTACTCTGTACCGAGTACTCGGAAGTGCTTTAAAGTTCGATGGATACCTAGGTATCAGCTAGAGCCGGTTTAGGCGGCCTTTTTTTTCACCGACATTGAGACTGCGGAGAACGATGACTCGCGTTTCTCAGACGTGCTGCCCTATATTTCGTCATCAATCAAGACAACTACCAGCGATGTCGTCCTAAACTTGCCCAACCCAGCTGAATCCCATCACCGACACGCTTTCTATTAGCCCTAGATGTCTTCCGAAACACGAGATCCCCAATCTGCGGCTGACGCAACACTCCCGTCCGGAGAGAGAACAACAAAACGGCAATAACGGTTCCCTCACCACTCGTCGCCTTGGCCAAACCGAAACCCCTTCTCAAGCGTATGAACCTGCAGGCGTGCAAAGCCTTCCAGACCGAACAGAAAAAGTGTGGTTCGAAAAGGTATCGGCCAGCGAGGATGCTCAACAAGCGATTCTGTCGACATATCAAGAGAGCGTCCATGGAAAAGATGTCGACCTCAAGTCGCGAGGAACCAAATGTTTAGGCTAATTTGATGGTCCCTCGATCAAACAAGTGTCGCAAGATCGAAGGCGGTGCTCCTCGGAATGAAAGAAGGGAAAGAATCCAAAGACGAGACAAACTTTGACCGGGTATGTATGGGCGTGTGCATCGTCTGGATAGTAGGTGAGGATCGAGGCCGAACGTTTATAGATGGTTTGACCGACCCTTTCTAATGCTCTACTTCCTTTTGGCCATCCGCTCCCTTTCCTGGATGTAACAAAGGTTCATCTGTTGCAAAGTCGCATCTGCCATCTGACCAAGCCACTGGATAGCACCTTCAGCCGCTGTGACCCCTTGAGCGGAAATTCCGGCTCTAGTACTGATGATGACCCGGTGAGCATTCGAGCCCTTTTTATATCTTGAAGTGACTACCATTAGCTTTAGACGGGAGAATAAGATTCATTAGCCGACTCATATAGTACACTTCTTTCCGATCTTCTTCGACGATCTCGGTTTCCGTAACTCGAGTAAACCCCATGAAGAACTGTTCGGCCACGCTATTAAGAGAGTCGACGGTCGATATCTCCACGTCGAGTATTGGGTTGCTCGTGGCGGTGTAGAATCGCTCGTTGATTCAGGTGGCGCTATCCCCGGTCGGAGACAACACTCTCGAGTCGTCTCCTCGTCCGAGGAAGCCGATCCCTACTGCGCGGCGGCTTCCTACAATTCTAGGAACGTTTAGCTATACCAATAACTAGCCATCTAAGTCACACTCACACGAGAGAAGAAGACGAGGTATAGGGCGAAAGGGAGGGGGGGTCATACAGAACGTAACGACGTAGAGTTCCTGATTCTTGATCGTAGTGCTATTGTGAATCCCTTTCTTACGGACTTTGTCCTACTCCTTGTATGTTCCTCTCTTGTAGCCTCGGGCTATAGCTCGCGCTCGGAGCTCGTCCGCCGTTGCTAGCTTTCGTACGCGAGCTACCGTAGTGAGGAAAGGTGGTTAATGGGAAGAGGTTCGTCACGCGCGAGCTTAAGGAAGGAACAGATCCGAGAACGAGGAGTATTAGGGAGGGTGCGAGTGATGAACGTCCGTGGAGGCCTTCCCGGACTAAGAGCATTAAGAGGGAAGGTCCCTTTTATAGGCTGCATTTCCAGGTCGACGACAGGTCGGTGGGAGGGGACCTACCGACCCGCGTGCCAGACTCTAAGATTGGTGACTCTAGATAGCCACAGACTACGGATCCATATCTAGCGCGAGAATAGAAATGGCCGTCGAGGGAACAGAGCGAGGGTCATGTATAAGTGAAAGGTAAGTGGAAGGTGACGGCAGGTGAGTTGGGATGAGTAGTGTTTAAAAGCGGCGCCGGCCCGGGTGAGGCACGAGGTGAGCTCGGCGTCGCTGAACCTCCTCTTAAGCCGCCAAGACGTGGGAATTCCGCAGCTATCTCACCCCTGATCGCTGGTCGCCCTTGAGTCTCCGTGCGAGGGACCTGTAGGCCACGACGCCGACCGCCTTGGCACTGGGGGCCGCCAAGACTGCAGCCGCCCAAGATTTACCTGGCAGGATCACCATGGCCTGATATCCTCACAACAACTCTGTTTGGAAGGGATCTTGGAGGATAATCAGATCATTCTCTTCCCCAAAGATAATTGACTTAAAATTCTCGCGCTCTCAGCCAGCGAGGGAGCATCCAAGTGGGCACAGAGCACGGAGAGTTTGATACCATTGGCTCTATTTCCGACCAGATTTGACATCAAAGGGACGAACCATGACCGAGACAGCGAGAATGCTGGGTCTCACCGAACCACTACACCAGAAGGTGTCCCAGAAGTTCCTGGCAGCCTTCAAGGCCAAGGACATTCTATTCTCCGAGACCAGTCTCGCATACCTCCAAGCTAGGGGAGGGGCTTCGGTGAGTGCGGCGCCATATCGGCAGGGGAGGTTTGGGTGCTCATGTCTGTCAAGTTCCAACTGCGATACTGCCCTGCGTTGAAGAAGAAGCCCCAAGGAGACGCCTTTGTCCCCAAAAAGAAGCCACTGGGACCTCACTTTGATCCTTTCGAGGACCCGCCTGCAGAGCTCCTAATTGCTCAAATCCCGGCTCACAATGCATCGCACAACTTGGTGTTGAACAAATACCCAGTCATTCACAACCACTTCATTCTCGCCACCAAGGCCAACAAACCGCAAACAGACCTTCTAGAGGCAGACGATATCGGCCTGACACATGCTTGTCTACGTGCCTGGCACGACCAGCGGCATGGTGGAGACCCTTCCCGTCTCTTTGCTTTCTTTAACTCTGGCGAACACAGCGGTGCTAGCCAGATGCATCGACACTTGCAGTTCCTACCTGTCGAGGATATGGCAGGTCCGAACAGTCGAGAGTGGAGGCTTCTCATCGACCGCATGACTGTGCCGGCTCATCCAGACCTACCACTATTTCAAGATCCATCGTTGCCCGTCTTGCATTTTTCCACGCCCCTCGAACCCGACGCGTCTGCAGCCGACTTACACCGCCGATATGTACTGCTCGTGCAAGCAGCGCTGTCTGCCGCCGAGTTCCCCGGCCAACCTCTAGACCAAAGCTTAGCAATTGAAAGGAACGGCAAGACACTGATTTCTTACAACATTGCCATGACGACGGAACGGATGGCAATCTGCCCTAGGAGACAAGAGGCTGTCGACATCCCCGGCGCTGGCCCAGAGAGCTCCGTGGCCATCAATGGCACAATACTGGCCGGAACCCTGATGGTCAAGGACGAAACGGAGTGGGATGTGCTTCGAGAAACCCATTCCCTCCTGGACGACATGCTGACTGCGATCGGCTTTTCATTGACATCGTGGAAACAAAATGAACGATTATCAAAAGCATAGTCAGAGCGACTCAAAGGTACATGCCGCACAGGGTCAAATTGCCTTCACACTCAAACGAGCAATCTTGCTTGAGAAAAGCACTCATGAACCCGAGAGCGCGCAGTCCTCTATCTCCAGACCACCGTAACCCCGTCAAAGCGCAAGTTGCAGGTACGCCAACTGTGAGAAGCGTGAGAGGAACACCGCCTCCTCAGCGCGGCGGTACACCAAACCCCCGAGACTGAGCTCCTCTTTTTTCACACCTGAGCGCACAACCTCGACAGAAGGATGGGTAGCTGGATGAATGGGATCAGCTGAACGATAATTCTCACCTCAGCATCCATCAAACCGAACCTGGTGGTGGGCTTGTCTACAACGGACTCCAGCACTCGAAGTGATCAGGTCACGGAGAAGGGTTGGAAACAAGTGGCTTCGGGCGAAAGCAAGGGTCTCGCGCTCCGAGCTAGAAGAGGATGCGTTGGAGATGAAGGAAAACATACGCCACACCCCTTTGCCTTTGCCGGGAGGAGGCTCCCTCTCCATCCATCCCAGATTGGGTTCGCTCTGACACTTCAAGTCGTAGTGTTCACATACAGGTGAGGTTGGGGGGCCATTTTGGGACAATCATGCCATCTCAATACTGATTGATGGCCGAGAGTTTAAAGAACGGGTGCTAAGCCCAGCGCCCTTTTTACGAAGCAGCTTATGAGGACTCTGGAAACAAGTCTGTCCAGCCTCGTGCCATTGAAAAAGTGCAAAGTTTGCAGCCGAGAGCTGCGCAACCAGTACAACCGATGACTACCAAAATCATCAACAGCTTTTATCAACGCTGGACTGCTATCGATGCCAAGCTGGTTCGTACGGAAAGGCCAGAGACCGGCACCGAAG